CGGTTTATTAGACAAGTTGACTTTTGACAGAGTCATTTTCACAGGACATTCTCAAGGAGGTGCCGTCGCCATGCTATCCATCTATGATTTCCTCTTACACTATCCTAAATACTCCTCCAAAATTGAGTTAATCACTTTTGGTCAACCAAGAGTAGGTCAATCAAACTTTATCGAAAAATTCAAACAAATTCTTTCCCCGCCAAAATATACTCGTCTCGTTACAATTTTTGTAAATAAAGACGCAAAAGGAAATGGAAAAAGCGTTGGTGAAGATTTGGTCTCTCAAGTTCCGCCGCCATTTCTTGGATTTAAACACGCGGGAAGTAAGGTAAATGTTGTGTGCACTGCGTTGAGTATTACAAAGTGTCATGATATGAATACTTATTTGGATGGTGTTAAGGCTGGAAAATATGTTGAGAATTGAGTTGTTTGAATTAATTTTTGAAAATATACGAAAGGTCTGTAATAAAAATTAATTTAAATTTTTCAAAAAAAATGGAGGTCGAATCTGAAGAATTATTCGAATCATTTTTTTATTATTCAAAATCGGAGAAAATTCAACAAGTAATTTTACACGAAAATCAATTATCACCACTCGGATCAGATGTTATGCAATTAATTCTTTCCTTTCTGCAACCGATTCCTTTCTTATTTCAACTAAAACGAGTTTCGTCTAATTGGAATAAGTTATGCGAAAGTTGCATGAAAGAAAGTTGTACAGAATTATATTGGGATGAAAAAACAGCAAGTTCTCTACTTGGAAATCTAAAGAAACATGCAAAAAAGTTGTGGCAATTTCCAGAATTTTATGAAGATGAAAATTTATTAACAAATTCAAAATCTGAATCAGAAAGTACTTTTGAATTTGTAAAGAATTCAATAATGCTGCCATTTAAAAGTGGAAATTCAATTGAATACATGATGTTTGGATTGTTTAGGAGTGTATTATTCAAATTTGGCAAGTTGAGCTCACTAATTTTACATAATGTTAAGGTGAATGCTGGATTGCTTTATTTATTATTTGTGGAATGGGGAAAGGAGTTGGAACGAATCAAATTCATTAATTGTATTGTTGATTTTGGTTTGCCGAAACAAATTACTTGTCAAGATGATGTCAATTCCCATAATAGTTATTGGCTTGTTTCAGATTTGAATCAAATACAGAGCTTGAAATTTGAGATTCCAAGTCAATTACCTGATCTTACAATTCAAAAAAGTCTTTTAATTGAAAATTTGAAGAAAGCCAAGATGAAAGATATCTCATTTAGCAATTGTTCAATTGATAGATCACTTGTTTTGAATCATACGCATGCTTCTCACTTTTCTCTGGAATTAATGTGCTTTTTTTCATCAATTGGAAGTTTGGAAACTGCTTATTATGATTGTTTTGAATTTAATGAAACTTTTGATCAAGACAGGACCTTCTTTAAAAAGCTTGTGCCAAATGTCAAGTTTAATATTCCATTCTTCCTTGCAGTTAAGCAACTGTTGGACATTTTACCATTTGAAAAAGTTGTAGAATATTTCAAATTTGACATGGAACGTAATTATTCGTTAGTGAAGAATAGAATGAATGCTTATCAAAAGAGAAAAATACGAAATAAGGAAGAATTAATCAATTTTTACTATGAAGTTTTTCCCTCATTTGCATCATTCCATGTTAGGTGCTCTCCTTTTATATTTGATTTATATTACAAAGATTATAGAGGATTCAACATGCTTCAATCGATATTGTCTTCTATTTATTTTAGTAGAAAACATCAAACTCATCTGCTTGATTTCATTTTTGATTATTTTTCTTTTTACAATGAAGATACAAACTCTGTAAAAGAAAGTACTGAGATTTTAAATGAATTATTTGCATCAAATAATCGAGTGGACGGGAGAAATTCGACCTTTATTGTAATTTCATATGAACTGACATTCATGTTTGAAAAGATGGTTAAACATAAAGTTCATTTCAATGCCAAAGATAGAGAAGGATCAACCATAGCTCATTATCTAGCTCAGGTAGGAAATGGTTCAACATTACAAAAATTAATTGAGATATTGGACAAACTACCAACTGTGGAAGAGAGGAAATACTTTTTAGATTTAAACATTCCCAATAATCAAGGACAAACTGCAGCTATGATTTGTTACAATGAGAAGAAATTTGAATTATTGGAATATTTGATGCAAATTGCTCCAAGATATGGAATTCTTGCTGCAAATGGCATGCCATTACAAAAAGATAATGTTTCAGTACTGGAACAACAGTCTTGCTCTTTAATGTAATTAATGAAGAGCAATTTTTTGATCTATTTAAAAGAGGCCACCAAAAACAGGGCCTTCTTCCTCTTCATCTACTGCTATGGCAACGAAACTAGGGTGTTCTTGGTCCTCTTCATCGACTACTACTCCTTCATTTGGAGATTTGAAAATATTGTTAGCATTATCAGTTGGGGAAAGCTTGTTTACAATATTCTTCATTCCAAATTTGTTACAAGCACACAAGAGTGCTTGTTTGGTATCTTCATCCAATTTACTTCCAATAATTCCATAATTTAATCAAGTATATGTGAAAAAATTAATGGATTACAATCAATGAAATAAATTGGATCATCAAACTGTTTTGAAGCTGGTGTTTGATAACATGGATATTCACCATTGAACATTTTCTTAAACAAGTTATCAGGTTCTTGTTGATTGGAGGTGAAATCTCCCAACGAAACTGTCATTATAGTTCCTCTCACATTCAAGTGAATTGGTTTGTTGCTATTTTCGAGCTTTTCTCTTGCCAATACTTGATTTTCAAATTCGTTCATTCTAGTTTCCAATAATTCTTCTTTCTTTCTAAATTGGTCTATTAATTGTTGTTCAAGGGATGCCAATCTATCTTTTGAAACAGTCAATAATTGTTCATTTTCAGTTTGTAATGCTGCCATCCGTTCCAGGTGTTCTCTTTCCAATTTACTCTTGAATTCTTCGACTTGTTGATATGCTTCATGGAGTGGACAGTACTTTTCTTGATGGTCTTTCAACTCACCTCTCAATACAATATTCTTACACATGCCACACTTGACTTTCAATTTATCCAACATGTTTCGAATAGTTTTGGCACTTGCTGCACAATTCTTCTTGAATCCACCTTCGTTACACAATGGACAAACCGTTACATTCTCAATACATTTGGCACAGAAAGTATTTCCGCATGAATTATGGGAAATTGGATCCACGAAAGGATGTAAACAAATAGAACAAATTAAATCTTCATCAATTTCCTTCTCTACATAATCGAATAGCACTTCTTCTTTCTCCTCCTTGATCAATGGTGTGTTGGAGGAAGTTATTGACGAGTTGGCTATTAGCTTGCGTTGTTTGAGTTTTTTTAACCCCATAGTGTCTATTTTTTTGTGATTGTAATTCTAATTTTTGATTTGTGACACGAACACTTGTCATTGGGATTTACGGAATCAGATTGTGATCAACAGTTGGTAAACCAAGGACAATAATGATACATTCTTTTACAACGAAATTAAATCGCCAAATCAACCAAGAAAATTATTAGGTAGAGTGGATAGTCAAACATGCTTCTTGTTTCCGAGTGTAAGAAAATCTACATCAACCTGAAATATTTACAAGTTATCGTGTACATCCAATCATAGCTTGACCAAAATTGATCAAATAAAGTGCTACTGTTGACCATTCCGAACAATCATCAATATGTTTTCCCATCAATTTTATAATAGTATTTGTAAATTCAATTTTAGTGATTTTTGGTGAACTCATAATCAATGCTGAATCTACAACTGACAAGTTGAGAAGGAACGTAGTATCGACGATATTCCAAGTTGTAACTTTCCATCTTCAAAAATAATTTCCAATTTCATGATAATAATCCAACAATAAAAATTTCTATTATTACTACTATTTAAATAATGTTGAGATGATGATGTGAAAGTTTGGTGCTTTCATCATGATGTAAAACCACTCCGAAAATCATCATGTCCTCCTTGCCACATTTCCTTTAATATTTTTTGATAATTTTTTTTATTATTAAAAAATATCAAACTCTAACTTGGAAGCAACAACAGCTGCAATGGTCATCACGAAATAATAATTTCCAGATATTTGCTCCTTTCATCATCATTGCTTCAAATAATATATCCAATATTGATGGAAATATTACAGTTAAAAAACCATCATGATGAATTTCTTTTAGGGTTCCTCTCGCACTCCAATGCGAGTTCCGATACAAAATTATCTTTGGAAGGTTCACAATAGTGTTTGATGGATGAACTGAAGAATTCACATAGTAATAGAAGACTTTTTTGACATTGTTGATGCTTATACCCTACTGTAATTGAAGCCTAAAAAATCACATTTCCAAAGTAAGGTAGGAGTCAAACGTGGATGGATATCTCAATTGTCCATTTTTCAAAAGTCCTTTTAACCAACAGAAAAACATCAAAAAAATGTCAATGAAAGAATATATAGAGCTCATCTTTTTATCTTCGTATCAGAATCCTTCACTAATAGTCAATGGTCATGCTTCATCAACAGCGCCATTTTCGTCATCTTTACATAACGTTTTATTGGAAAGTTTGAATAGCTCAACAACAATAACCAACACAACAAACAATGGTACATCAAACTTTTGTGATCCGTCACTGTTTAATACACCTTGGAGTAGAGAAGTGAATGGAAGTGTCATTTACGGGCTTTGTCCAGATACTTATTTCTCAATGGCTTTTTGTTTGGCATTTGTTGTACTTTATCTGTTAGTTGTCATTTTGAGTGGTGTTGGAGTTTATTGGAAGAGGAAGAGTGGTCATATTGTGGCTAGGAATCCAATCTACCTCTACTTTACATTAGGAGCTGCACTATTCTTTGTGATATCTCTTACTATGAGAGTGATTGTGGGCAGGAAAATATATCCGTGTGGATTGTTGACTGCTTCCTTTTTTACATTCCCTCCTGCAATTTGTTTACCTACCATCTTTAGAATGATGAGAACATTCTTCATGTATAAGATTAATTTACAAAAGGCCAAATTATTCGATTCCTCTACTGGCACCAATAAGCCGGAGGGGAAAGATTTTGAATTATTTAAAGGAGCAGTAGAACCTGAAATCAAACATGAAACGCCAACACCAGGAATTGATTTTTCACAAATATTTCATGCTGAGACTTCTCCTTCTGTTCACCAAAATAATCCATTCGTAGGAAGTCCTAGTTCAACAGTTGACTCACTCAGTAGTACCACAGATGATGTGGATGACGTTTCGAATTCCAATACTGGAATTGATTCAGAATCTATTGCTGATGTTTCAACATGGAATTTTACAGAACTCAAAGAAATTCAATCACTCAGATCTGAAATTAGAAAGTTGAAGATTTACAATTTTGTGACCAGTTTGAAATTTATTACCATTTTTTACATTCTGGGTTTTATATTTGGACTTGTAGTATGGCTGATTATTGGAGGTATAGAAGAAGCTTTATATTCATTCAATACTAGTCCAGATAAGAAACGTATCTTCCTCTATGATGGTGGATTGTTTGTTTTTGATCATGGTTGTGGAATGACATCAAACTCTATCATTATCGTTGGTATTGAAGCAATTTTATACATTATTCTAGAGTTTATCTGTTTCATAATGTGTGTCAGAGCTGATAAAGATACTTGGGGTATCAAGTTAGAATCTCTCACATTGATTGTAATTCAGATTCTTAGTGCAATAATTTTCCTAGTGGCAGGAAATATAGAATTCATTTTCAACTTTACAGAATATTATTTCCCATATGGATTTGTATTGTGGGGTTACATGCTGATTGAAATTATTGTTTGTGTGACACTTCCAGTTCTCTATGCCATTGTAAGAGATAATAAGGACAAGGTTCAACAAGCAGCTCAATTGAGTACTTTGGAAAAGATTTTGAAAAATAAGAAAACCTTCCAAGTTATGCTTGATTTTGCAAGAAGAAGTTATTGTACTGAAAGTATATTGTGTTGGAGGGATATTCAGAGATATAGATTGGCAAGAAAGAAAAGTCATAGAAAAAAGGCAATCATTCACATACTTGGAGTTTATTTGACATTTGGAGCTCCCTTGGAATTAAACATGCCAAATGTAGAGAAACTGAAACAGGAAATTCTAGCTCAAATTACTGGAGGAAAATTTATAGTAACAGAAGGATTGATTGTTGATGCCAATGAAATTTCCAAAATTATGAATGGTAATGCACTTGTACAACTTCACACAAACTTGTTCCAAGCTGTACAGGAGCATTGTTTGAATGATATGAGTGATTTATTTGAAAGATTGAAGAATTCTAATAAGGAGATTGCAGAGATTGTCAAGTCACATAAGGAACTTTCACAAACCGTGAACTAATTGTCAGATTTATTGGCACAATATGGACAAAAGTAATCAACTATTAACAAACTTAGGGTAATTGTTTGAGAATAATATTGATCCAATATCTTTTACAATTCATTTTACAATTGAAGTTACCATATCTCTAAAAAGGTTTTTGAAGTCAAGTGACTTGTTGACCTTCATATTTTACAAGTCCTTGGAGCGCAACAGGAATGGTGAGGCATGGAAAAGGTACGGTGTGTAATAAAAATAGAATTGGCAAGGAACAGCGAAGGTTTGGTGACTTATTTTTAAGAAACGACCAAGGTACGGCAGAAAATAGGAACGGGAATAGGTATGCAAACAAGGCATGGATATTTTTAAAATTTTTACAAGTCAGTTCCACCATTGAAATCCTTGCTAATTTTCTATAAAAGTACAAATAACACT